TATATGTATATACTGTATGTATATATACATGTATGTATGTGTATATGTATATGATGATGAAGAAACTAATATTAATTTCTGTTTTCTACTGAAGTAGCAATAAAAAAATTTAAAGGTAGAAAATGTTAGTTTTTATTGTCGAAGACTGCATTAAAAATGTGATTTGTTTCTGTGTCCTCAGACAGTGGGGAACAAAAACGGAAAGCTGTGGACCACAGATGAGGAAGTGTCTCCTGAGGTTTTAGCAAAGGTAAAAGGCATCAATAATATAAATTATATAAAAACTGACAAGGATTTTTTTCTTTTTGTTCTTAATAGAAACAAATATGTTTTAAAGAGACAAACACGTTTTTTTTTTTTCTTTGTTCCTTCAGGTTCAGGCCATCAAGCTTTTAGTGCGCTGGTTACTAGGAATGAAGAACAACCAATCCAAATCGGCAAACTCCACCCTACGTCTGCTGTCCGCCATGCTCGTGAGCGAGGGGGACCTCACCGAGCAGAAGAAAATCAAGTATCTCTTTTCCTTCACTCTAAACAATGAAGCTTTGTGGGTAATAGTAGACTATCAACTTACGGGTATTAATGTATTGTTTTTATTCTTACAGTAAATCAGACATGTCTCGTCTGAGGCTGGCAGCTGGAGCAGCCATCATGAAGCTGGCACAAGAACCGTGTTATCACGAAATCATCACACCTGAACAGTTTCAGCTCTGCGGCCTCGTTATAAATGTACGTTTCTCCAGGAACGTGACATTTGATCACAGAACTGAATGTGAATTATTTTTCCTGCTGTTTGTACAGTCATGTAAACGCAATAAATGTACATTATAGCTGCATAGAAAACAATTTGTTAGAATTGTTTATAATTTATCCTATCTGAAATTTAACTCTTTACGTCTTCCTTCAAATAGATTGTTCTGAGGGGCTTTTTTTAGGATCTAACTCTGCTGCTTTCTCCTGACAGGATGAGTGCTATCAGGTCCGACAGATCTTTGCACAGAAGTTGCACTTAGCTCTCGTCAAACTGCTGCTGCCCCTGGAGTACTTGGCTGTTTTCGCTCTGTGCGCCAAGGACCCGGTGAAGGAGCGCCGTGCCCATGCCCGACAGTGCCTCCTCAAGAACATCTCTGTCCGCAGAGAGTACATCAAACAGAACCCCCTCGCTCAGGGTCAGTGTTTTTCACGCTGAAACTAGACCCGTTCGTAACCAAGCATCTGTTTTAAAAAGACCACAGCAGAACAGTTCTGACACAGTAAAACCTTAGATTCACAGAGAATCTCAAACAGGAAGTAGTATTTGTATAATTCATTTTTAATAATCAAGTAACATCTCATATTGTATTGTTTGCTGTAGTTTGAGATCATCTTTTTCTTTTAAATCTTATTTAAAAGTTATTTTCCTCATCAGAAAAACTCGTCTCTCTCCTTCCCGAGTACGTGGTTCCCTACATGATCCACCTGCTGGCTCACGACCCAGACTTCACAAAACCACACGAGTACGAGCAGCTCAAAGACATCAAGGAGTGAGTGTGTTTTTATTGTTTCATGATGTCGCCTACACAAACCGCTCTAGTTTGGATATAACTGGTTTCAATACTCTTGTTTTGTTTAGGTGCCTGTGGTTTATGTTAGAAGTTCTGATGACCAAGAATGAGAACAACAGTCACGCTTTTCTCCGAAAGATGGCAGAGAACATCAAGCAGACAAAGGACGCTCAGTGTCCTGAAGACGTGAAGGCCAATGAGGTATGACGCGCCCGGCTTAAAGCCTTAGAGCATATAACACACGAGAGACAAACTGTTGTGTAGAATGTAGAAATTTTACATTTTATTTATTTATTTTTGGGCTAATTTTCAAAAGATGTAAACTACATTTGCTACAGAAACTGTACATCGTCTGTGACGTCGCTCTCTTCGTCATCGCCAACAAGAGCACAGCGTGTCACCTGGACTGTCCGAAGGAGCCCGTTCTTCCCTCAAATTTCTTTCTCGTACAGGACAAGGTAATGCACACACTTTTTTTATTTGAGGTGTGTAAATTTGTACTTTTTTACCTTTGTGCTACTAATAACTTTATCGTTACATTTTGTTTTTAAATCAGGACTTTAAAAATGATAAGGAGTACCTGATGGCAGAGATGAGACAAATGCTGCTCACTGGGAAGGTAAATGTTTTTTGTTGTTGTTTATTAAATTATACATTTGCAAAGGTCAGAGTTTCCATTGTACGAATGGTTTAATTTCATGTAGTGAAGCATTACAGGATGGAACTAGTTCATGCGCTATATGAAGTGGTACTTTGGTTTCACAGCCTAAACCAGCGCCGGTGTTGGCAACTGTCAACAAACCTCTGACGGTACTGGGGAGGAGGATCTTCAAGACCACCACAGCTTCAGACACAACCAGTAACACCAGCACTAACTCGTCTCCACTGATCTCAAACATCAACAAGAACAGGTGAACGCGCAGCACAAGCAATCAAGATTGTAGCAAAATCCTAAAAATGTATCCATTTTTCACCCGAGTTTTTAAATGTAACAGCAGTACTACCACGGAGTCATCGGAGAGTCGAGCGCAGGAAAACAACGAGAACCCGGTCATCAAGAACGTGGAGGAGAAGAAGGTAAACTGGAACAAGAGGCACGTCTCGTCCGACTTCATCCACTGCCGTCTTTACTCAGATCTTCCTCTGCGTCTTTTTCAGGACGCGCCCAGTCAGAAAGCGCCCAGTCAGAAAACGCCCAGTCAGAAAGCAGCTCCCGACGCCGGGACAGAAGCGTCGCCGGTCAAACGACGGGGCCGCCCTCCTAAAGCCCCCGGTGCTTCTGCGGCAGTGGAAAAAGAAGGAACGGTGGCACCGGCTGGCGGCGGAGCTGGGAGGGGCAGGAAGAGGGCAGCTGACGCATCCGCAGACGCAGTCAACACCAAGACATCAAAACAGCAGCAGAACGATGAAGGGACAAAGAGACAGATTGATCTGCAGAGGTAAAAGTGGGAAAATGAGCGAAGTTGTGACAAAAATAAAAGCACCATCTCGGTAGCTTAGCCTCGGTCTGGTTGGCTAGGATCAGGAAAGTTGGATGCATCAGATGTACTATCTTTTGTTTCCTTTTTTCAGCAGGCCCTTTGCAAGCAGAGAGAATAACAGAAAGCATCAAAAGAAAACAGATGTAGGGACAGTTGGCTTCCTCCTCCTTCCTGGCAGCGAGGGAGAAACCGTGATTAAGTTGGAGTTCAGCACAGGGACAGTCCAGCTGTGCACGTGGCCAGGATGCCAGGACTTCATAAGAGATGAAGCTCTGACAGGCAGGGAGGCAGGTGGACTGGTACTGAAAACATTTAATACAAGATAGCTATGTTAGGAGTGGGACTCTTTAGGCACCTCACGGTTTGATTTGATTATAATTCAGAGATCTGCCCTGTGACTATGAACTGATGATCGATGCGTCCATAATCACACAAACCCAGACTGTACAATCTTTGACCTAAAAGAAACAAAACATTTTGCTCTGTGCTGCAGAAGGAAAACATTTTCATTTAAATTAGGGTCCTTGTAAAGCAGATATTTAGCTGCACTTTTCATTGTGCTTGTTAACTGATTGTTGTAGTTTAATCATTATTGATGCCATTTATCAGCTTTATGATTTTTTTTAAATGTGTCTGAGTAGTTTGTTTGACACTGGTGTTGACCTGTTTTTCAGGTAAAGAAAAATGGGCGAAGGTGAAGTCAGGACTGCAGCGAATGGACCGAAACTTTCCTCAAACCTTCCCGACTCCCTGCGTTCAAGCTCCTCTGACTCTTAAAGCTTTCTTGGAAATATTATGGACCTTTCTTAAAACAAATATACAAACACGTGCACACACACTGACATCCTAGAAGGTTTAAAAACAACTTGTAGTCATCAATTGAAGCTCTCTGTATGTAGGTCTTACTCAGAAACATTTTTTTTTCCTTTGTGTTTGTTGCTCTTTGCTTCTTTTGTGGAGCCATTTTTAAGAAAACAAAACAGAATGGACATTTTACAAACGTTTTAATCTGGTAATGATTGTTGCTTATTAAATTCCCTGGAAAAAAAAATCTTTTGAGTCCCGATGTTTTCCTCCTTACATCTGTGCCACTGTTTTTTATTTCAAGCTCGCTTGTTTTAGTTTTGATATTTTGGAAACTTTTACATGAAATTCAGAAACACAAGTTTTTTTTTCTTTTTTAATCAAAGAAAACATGACAGTCACAATAAATAACCATGCTCTTTGTACTGCTGATGCTTGCTTCCAAGAAAAAGGAACCGAGTCTCTATCCAAATGGAGAAACTTGAGATGCAACAGCCCCCCCTTTTTTTCCTGTTAAATACTTGGTCGTCGTGCAACATTATTTGCGGTTTGAACAGCGGGAAGACTTGGTTGAGGCGGCCTTCGTCTCTTGCTTTCTCGTACAGAAATGTAGATTGGCAACTAATAGTGCACTTCAGCGATTACGTCATGTCACTTTATAAAGACCTAATCCCAGCTATGTACACATGGAGGCTGTGCCTTCTACCTGCCTCCAAATCCTTTTTGGCGCTGGCTGTGAACCTTATGCAGAGTCGACAGAGACAACTTGCACATTAACTCCCGCGTCGTAATGAGCTGTAAAGGACCGAGCTGCAGGTCAACTGAAGGGGAAATATCTTCAAAAATAAATGGCTCTTTGTTAGCGTGCCTGCGCACCCCTTTTCTGCTCTGCTTGTACCGTTAAAAAAAAACATTTTAAACTCAACCTGCAACAGATTAATAAGAGTTCCAGCTTTTCGTTCTGGCTGTGTACTAAAGCACATTTGGGAATACATCGTCTTTACTCCTTTATATATGGCCAACAGTTTAGCTGAGTGATACGTGTTCTGTTGAGGGTCGACTTTTAATCTGCTCTGAGATAAAGGAAACTTAAAACAGTTCGTAACAGAGGGGTAAAACTTTCTGGTAACTCCTTTAAAACAATTTCTACTTGGCAGCTTTCTGAACAAAAGATCTGGCGTCTTGACATTTAAAAGGTTGTTGACCTGGAAACGCATCAGTTACATCATTTGAAGGCTAAACAAGCACAGGCCTGATTTGGCTTTAGGGACAGGATTTTGGTTTTGTCACTTCAACATAACGTCTTTAAAAAAAAAAAAAGAGGGCGTCTCGTGGATCAAATTGATAAAAACATCTCAATATACAGTAAGGTAGGCATAGTTTATATTTAAAATAATTTGTTTTACAATGTCATCCGTGTAAGAAAAAAAGGATACTACCATTATAGTTTCAAATTTACACGCAGCTATATACAGATAACTTTCTTTTGAGCATGAGTGCAAATGTAGAAGGATGTTGGACACAAACCTCTGCTGTAGGCGGCGACACGGATGATGAAACTCGAGGGGGGAAAAAAGCCAGCATGTCGTCCCTGCACAACACTATCCTGTCAAGTATATTTAATCCACAAACTTACAATCCAACTCACTACTGAGAGAACTGTGTGCCGGACTACATTTGCATTTTACCCTGCAAACAACCAGGTCGTGTAGATCACAGGTCAGAGGGATAAAAAAACACCAGCAAATTAAATTCATGGGGTGGGCGTTGAAGACTAGATGAATGAACGGTTTCTTGTTTAACGAGTGCACACGTCTAAGTGGAGAGGGAGTAAAGAGCCTCGGTACGACGAGATCAGACAGGCAACAGGGTGGTTGACACGTTGGCAACGATGGTGCAGAGTCTGTAGCAAACTAAAGTTGGAGAGGAAGGCGGCTCGGGCTGTTGTGTCGAACGTGAGGAGGTGTTGATCTGTTCAACTAAACGTAACGGTGGAATGGTGCCGGGAGGAGTCGATGCTGTGATGAGAAGTTTTGGATCCTCGCACCCGGACAGCGGGCTTCAGTTGCTGAGGAGCAGTTCTGTCGCCGTCTCCACGTCCCAGGATTTCGAGGATAAGGCTGCTATTACTGCGTTCTGAAAACGAGAGAGAGAGAGAGGGTAAAATTCCTCTGCAGAACTTTCACAGCAGTTAAACCGAAACGAGGAAGAAGGACCCACCTTTTCAAAGCCCATGGCACAGAGTTTGTCTATTTTCCGTGTATAGTCGGGACTGGAGATGGGCGCGCCGGCGTAGACGTGCGACCACAGCCTAGCAGTCTGTTTGAACATTTCTGGGTTCTGCTTGTACTAAGAATCCAAAAACAGAAAATACAGAACAAGATGTCAGCAAACAAAGAGAACACAGAATAAAACATTAGCTACTCCCAAGGTTTTTGTTGTTTCCTTGGTTTAGAAATAACTTATTTGCTTTCCGAGCCTATGAAGTTCAACTACAGATGTGAGCAATAATATGGTTTTTCCCACCTGGTTTGCAACTACAGCATCCTGTGGATCATCTGGTTCTGCTGCTGCAAGAAGAGCCTGTAGAGACAACAGCACTGTCCGCAGGGTCATGGCAGCTGCCCTGAGTCAGACAGATTAAACATGACAACAGGTAAGTAAACACATCTGAATGCAACAGATCACAGTTTAGATGGTTCTCACTCACCACTGGTCTTTTAAAATATCCAGACATATTGCTCCTGTCACTGAACTGATATTAGGATGCCAGATCTTGGTAATAAAGCGCACCTAAAAATAGAATAATAAAAGCTTATCAGTCAGAATTCAGGAAAGGAAAGAGATTACAAAGTATGGATTTGTAAGTTAACTTTTTTATTAATGTTTTTCTAACAATACAACGTTGACTGTGTGTTTTTTAAAGTCATTACCTAGCATTACATACAACATGTTAGACAAACAGTTTGCTTGCTGAGTCACTGCAATTTGTCAAATGCAAATTTAAAGCTAATTTTATTAGAATTATTTTACATGTTAACATCAGAAACTGATTTGGAGTCAACCCAATTCAAAATAGCCGTCACGGTTAATATTAAAAGCACAAAAATAGCTACAACTCTGTCAAAACCTCTCACGAACCACTAGACTGATTTAAAAGAAACTTTCAGAAAGGGATTTTTGAGTTGATTCAACTTAACATGGCCACCACCCGCTAATCAACGTAAACACAAAAATAGCTACAACGCCATCAGTTTTGCGTTTACTGAGCTAAAGTTTGACCTGGTAGTAGATAAGAGTCGTTCACAACACACTGAGCATCACATCCCTCATCATAAGATGATGTTTTTACTTTAAAACTCTAACACATGGGGTGGCAAATATAGTGCCAGAAAACACACAAACACACACACACACACACACACACACACACACACACACACACACACACAAATAACTTGTTATTTAAAAAGAACTGCTGAAAGACATTTTGGAGCGTACCTTTGGTGGGTTAAACGGATACGTTTCTGGAATTTTTATTTCAAGCTGATATCTACCACCTTGGAAAAGAAATGAAACAGATAAGCAGGCCAAATCACAACATTTAAGTGTTATTTTTATATATAAATATATATAAATCAGGTGTATGACAGTACCTTCATAAGGAGTATCTGGAGGTCCTGCTATCTCCCCTCTCAGCTCTGTGAAGTTCTCATTTACCAGATCAACTTTAATCTGGTTCTTACTTGTCTGAGGATTGGGGCAAACAGAAACACATTTTAATATGGTCACAAGTCTCTCATTTTGACTGGTGTCCATTAGCCACAGGTCAGCTTTTTACATGTGAAGCCTCTGACAGTGTGACTGATACAGAACAATTGTAATTTTTCCGCAAATTAACACCAGGTGTGCTCCAGGTTGATCCACTGGGACATCCATGTTAGCATTACCTGCTAATGGAGCAAAAAGCAAGTTAGTTTTCTAACAAGTCACCAATAACTGGACCTGACAAGCAAACGTAAGACATGATTACATTTTATAAATCACATCTAACGCTCCGCGCTGAAGCAAACAACATAGTTTGTTTCGGACTACTTCACAGCACAGCGCGACATGCTAACGCTAACAACAAATGAGGTTTCGCTTAGCGAGCTAAAGCTGCCACGCAGAGCTAATTCAATAAATAAAGACCAGCCGCCAGATCTGGGCTACGAATGGTCACTGTGTGCTGGGTTTAGCTAGGTAAATTACTCAAAAGTATGCAGCGTTGTCGGGCCTGTCAGCTGACAAAGCTCGAGTCCCCGGTGTTTCCTGAACACACCCACCTGACACAACAGGAGAGCTCCGAGCATTTACGAGGCTAAGCTAGCTAAAGTTCTAATTGTTCGGGCCTGACCTGCTGCGTTACAGAATCGGGACTTCACCAGGTAAAATTGCTCTCTCCTTACAGCAACTGTGCGATTTAATTAAATTAAAACCAATCCCATAGAAGGGACGGAATAGGACCGATAATATATATATATAGTAATATAATAAACGCACCTCTTCGCTTTTGAGAACTTCTTTGAACTCTCTCTTGATCCTTTGGACTGCGATGTTAGCCATTGCTGTGTGCCTGCTGAGCTGCTGCTGCCTCTGAGGTAGACCCGGGGCTTCACCCGGTGTGTGTGTCTGTGGAGGAGGAGGAGGGGGTGGTGGTGACTAATCTCTGCTTTTTATTAAAGCAGCTCCTTTCGATTTCACTGTCCACCACTTGTTTTCACCTCAGCCTCGGTCCAGAACATGCTGCTTTCAAAGCATGGCAGCTGCTGCATGGAGCACAAGCTGGAACCTTCAGAATAACACGCGCGCGCATGCACGCACACATCTGGTTTAAACACAAGTCAGGATTTTTATTAATTTTTTACACCAGACTCTGATATCATAGAGTGACTTTATTCATTGTTTATCTCTTAGGTTTAGTGTTTTATTAACTAGAAGCAAACCAGACAAAAAAATGTATTGATTTACCCATAAAATTGTAAAATGGCCACATAAACATTTTATGATTTTTAGATATTTCAAATTTAGTGTTTTTTTTTTCTTTTTACTGGTAGGACTGCTATTTTTTGTATCTTTAATTCTATTCCTATTATTCAGAAGGTCATTTTCATTATTGGCATGTAAAGATAGAACAAAGTAAGAATGACATAAACAACAAATTCAGTAATGCTACCATGGCCAACTAACTTAATTTAATATTTGGAAAATTTTGTAGTGTACTTTTGTTAGAGGCACAGTAGATATCCAGGTGTAATTAACAATCATACCAAAGGGGAATGAAGAAACAACTCTCTATTCAAATAAATTACTTGGTGACACTGAGTCAAAATGTAAATAAATAAATAAATAAAATATGAAGGGCCACGGTTTTTATAAAATCTGGACACCTAAAACAGAAGTAGTCAACTCATTTTCCTTGGATAATGTGTTCTCTGACCATAAATTTAGTTACACAATGGAACAGATGTTTCATGTACTGTTTGTTTACTATCCAGATGAGAGATAGTTGTCGTGATGTGATTGGTTAAAATGACTCGTCTATCAAACAGTCAGACCAATGACAGACGGTTATCTTGCGAATGTATTCATGTGGGAGGCGGGTCTGGGAATGGAAGGCGCTGATTGGCTGACTGACCGACGATTGGCTCACGTGGCTTAACAAACAAAACAAGGAGCGGTGGCTGGATGACATGTCTGCTGCTTGACGGCGTTTATTGGCGACAGCTTGGCTGCAAGCAGGGCAGCTTGGGCCCTCTAAAGAAACGCACTATTTCTGAAAATCACGAAGCTCAAGTAAGTCGTCGTGTTGTTATGTCTACAGCCACATATTTTCCTTATGACTCATCAAATGTAAAAAAAAAAAAAAAAAGGCTCGAGATAGACTGAGGAAGCTAGTTCAGCTAAATGTTCCTGAGAGCGCAGCTGGTTGAAAGTAATGATTCCTGCTTTCGGAGCTCAGTTTTAGCTGTGTTGAGATTATCCTACTAGTTCCTGTTCAGATGTTAGCAGCTAAAAGTAAGTTAAAATGTAAAACACCAGCATCAAACCATAAACAACCACTCAATGTTCAGATCAAATGAGTGCCACATCCTCCCACTTCATGTCAGGAAGAGCAAATCAGTTGAAACATCTACTTCTTTTATATTGTCACATCCAAAATTACCTGCATGTGTTTTAGGCTCCTGGGGATTTTCAGAAATCCTAAAACTCTATAACTCTTTATATGTTTTATTTCAGGCATGAGTAGTCCTCTTAATTTCTCCTATTTCACCCGTGAAGATTAAATTTGTGCTGGAAAGCCATAAAACCAAGGGATGAGTAAAAACTGGACCATACTAAATTTAATCTAAATACTCTAAACATACCTTTATATCAAACTGTGATAATTTCAAACATAATTGTGCAGCAGAGTTTGTTTTAATTAGCCATACATCAAAAAGTCAGTAAAGAGTTTTAAAACTCTGTGCTGACCTATAAATTCACTTAAAATTGCTTTAATGTCAACATGCATCAAGAGTTTCCTGATTGTCCCAGGCTGCGCAGTCTCCTCCCACTAATTCTGTGTGTCGGTGTGTATATGTGTGTGTGTGAAACATCAAAACAGCACAGCATTGTGGAGAAGCAGCCTTGGGTTTCTCACCGTGTTCATGTTCGTTCTAACTGCAGCTCTTCTGTTTCAGGGTGGATATTTTCCGGTGAGAAATGGCCGAGGGAGGCTTTGACCCTTGCGAGTGTATCTGCACTCAGGAGTACGCTATGAGACGCCTCATCAACCTGGTAAGAAACATAACCGGGAGGCTTTTAAAATCTGGCAGGTTTGATGATGATGATGGTGACGATGACGAGGTTAAATTTAAAATGTAATTACAACAACTTTTAGTTTAAAAGTAAATGAAAATATTTTTAAAAGGAGCAATAAGGAAATAAAAAGTTATCGAGTGACACTGGAAAAGCACATCCTGGTTCCTGTTGTGTGTTTGTTTTTGGAGCACAGCCCTACAGTGACATTTTGCTTTCCCTGCCACACTTAAATACCAGTATTTGTTCTTGTTGGTTGATTCTGGCTCAGCTCTACTCTCAAAGATAAGATCAGAGTTAAAATAAAAGAGAAACCTCTCATCACTTTTGGCTCAGTTTTCAGGTGACCTCGTTTTCTTTTTGTACGCAGGTGTAACTTGCATGGCAGGTTGCGGTTGGCTGTGAGCTTGAAGCCACTCTGAGCTCTCTGATTTGCTTATCACATTAAAGGGTGTTGTCTAAACGAACAGGAGTCCTAATGGAGCTTTTATGACTGATATTTCAGCAAACAATAGCAGAAATTCTCAGTGTTTGTGATGTCATGTTATAATTGGCAGTGCCTGTTTTTCTTCTTTCATGAGTGTTGATGATTTGAGATAAATTTGTCTTTTGATCTGTCTTTTTGTTTCAGCTGAGACAGTCTCAGTCCTACTGCACGGACACAGAATGCCCTCAAGAGTGTACGTAATCCCTCTGCGTGATGTGCTTCGTATTACAACATGGCAACATCTGTGTTTTCATATGAGAAACGATCAGATCACGTGTGTGAATGTGTTGTTTCTGCACAGTGCCAGGACCCACTGGGCCAGGAGGTGGAGGAGGGGACCTGACCCTGTCCATGGTTCTGATGGGCTGGGTGGTGGTGGCCCTGGTCCTGTTTCTGCTGCGCCCATCCAATCTCAGGGGCCCACATCCTGCAGGAAAACCCTCTGGACCTCATCACGTCAGTACTGATCATACTCATTTCTCATGACAAATACGTGGTAACAAGCTGGAATGCTTTCAAATGTTTGCACCGCATGTATTATTAATTTGCTGAGATCACGGGAAATTAATACAAGCTTATTAAATGGATTTTAATACAGAGATAAAATATATAAATGTGTTATCTCAGCTACCACTACACCAAATTGGCTCAATCTCTGTAAAGTTGATTTAGTTATAGCCATTCTGGTGTTTTCTAAGTTTAGTTGGTAGTGGTGGCCATCTTGAATTGGGTGTGCTCTAAAAGATAATCAGTTACAATCTGGTACATTCAGTGTATGTCCTCAATGTTTCAGTAAAATACAGTATGTCTGGTGGTTTATAAGACATTCTGCTAAAAGATAAACAGACACATGCAGAAACATTACTGCCTGCCTTTACAGCAGGTGATAATAAAATAATTGACTTATTGGCCCAATAGGCAAAAAATAAATAGAAAAATTGCAACAGTAATAAAAAGTCCGACTTGTTCATAACCTTTGTTGGATATTTTTCCCATGAGAACTGTACTGCTCAGAAACTTTGAGCCCTCACTTTTTTTGTAAGCATTTGAACCAGTTTTAATTTTTTTTTATTTTGCATCAACCTTACTTCTTTTTTTTCTGAATAATAAAATGTATTAAAATTTAAACACTTATTTCATCTATACATTAATTATGTATAAAGAAATACTAATATCTAATTTCTATCACTCACCTGAAATCAACTTTGGTATAAAATGGTTCCTAAACTCTAAAGGACAACCAGAAATACTGCCTCATATCTGACAACTTGGCAAAACAACTTTAAAAGATTATAAAAGTCTGTCTCCTTAGGAAAAAACTAAATAAATGACCTGAAACTTCTTTTCTTAAACGGACAAAAGACTCTGGACTCAAGTGAGTAACGTGGGACACATACACACAATAAAAAGCAACGTGTTAGCGGCAGCTGACACACACGTTTCCCAAACCTGCTTTATCAAAGTTTTAGTAAGACTGTTCCTAATGCTTAATATCTTTGTGTAATCTAATCTCCCTAATCTATTCAAATATCTGATCTAATCTGTCTCAATATTCTTTAGCATTCTGTTCTTTTCCATCCAATTAAAACAGTCTGCTTTATCAAAAGTTCTCCGTAAATGTTATCTGAACAAAAAGCCTACATTTTGTGTTTTATAAACAAGGCTTAAGAGGAACAAATAATCTCCACCATTATGCAGATTTTGTTTGCATATTTGACAAAAAGACTAGTCACATGAGGTACAAACAGCTTTCCTGATAGAGGAGGAAAAACTGAGCATCAATTTACTGTTAATCATTTGAAGTCAGTAGCAACACATTTTAGCAGAGTAAGTTTGCTTTACATAGGTTTTTATGTATTTATTTATTTTTGCTTCTGAAAGAAATCAAACTGAAAATATTTTCTGAAAATATTCAGTCACAAAAACCGTCTTCAAATTGTTATATTAGTTGCCCAGAAAACAGATTTATTACTAATTTGGGATTGTCAAACACTATACATAAAAAAACTGACGTTTTATAATATTGTTGTAGTAATGTTTCAGGGATGTTGTGTTTTGGGTTCTAAACTTGTTTACCTTTCGTTTTGTTTTTTAGAGTGAAAGACGGGAACCTCCAGCACCACCTGTGGATTAACAGAGGAGCAGGACCACCAGCAACCATCAAGATGCTCAGACCAGGACAGCTGCAGCTCCCTGTCAGCCCTCACTAACATATCTCTTCGTTTTTCTTTCCATAGGATTGTCCAAACAAGTTGTTTTTTGTTCTGGTAACCGAAGCCCGACTGACACCCGCACAGGTTTTATAATCTTTCTGATATCCAAATAAAATATAAACCAAAATTATTATAAACTATAGAAAGTGAGCTGAAATAATTTCAGCAGGTTGACAATTGAGGCTAATTGCATAAATATCTTACAGGATAAACTGTGTTATATTTTGTTTATAACACAGGATTGACTGATAAAGCTGGTGTGTGGAGGTATCAGTTGGGCTTCTTTAGTTAGTTCAGAGTCTTTAATCAGAAGGTGTGTCAGGGTTTAAAGCTGGTCCCTCATCCCGGCTCTGCTGCTGACAAATACTTACAAAATGAAAAATGGTCCACAGGATGAGGGCAGAGGGGATCCAGGAAGTCCCCAATAAGTGTTTTTTTTTTCTTTGTCCCTGTTGTGTTCTTGAGTCTGAAACATTCCTGTCTTTCACTTTTTGAAAGTTTCGAACTATAAGTTACTGTAATAACGTCACATCACATCAGGTGTTGACAGTTTAATTAAACCAGCCCACTGACAGATCTTGCATCATTTCATGGTTTAAGCTCTATCAGAAACAGGTCAGGTCCACTTTATTAGCTGTCTTTATTGTCGTGAATGTTCTGCCCCTCCAAATATCATTTTGTTGTGGTGTGAGTGAGTGAAATGAAAAATTTATAGTCATTAAAATGTATTTCATACACATGGCACAGATACATTTAAAATAATATATGAACTAATATAGTTTATAATATGATTTCCAGTTTATAAACTTAGGCCAAACTAATTTTCATAAGATGATGTTTGCTTTTGATTCCTTTTGAAGATCTGAAATGCTGATTTATTGAATCTAAAAGAAGAAAAGCAACCCAAGGTGTCTGTTTCAGCTTCTGTATGATGCCAGATTATTTGAATTGAATGAGAATACATCTTTGAACAGTGCCAATCTGATTGTTTAGTAAAAGCATTTAGAGCACTTTATTCAGACCTTTTCCCCCCTTATTTTAGTGGGAACAGTTTTTCACTGTTTGCAGAGTCTTCTTCCCTTTTATCACAATATACAAGTAAACAGACATTCAGTCCAGAGTTACTGTCTGATCACTGATTTTACATTCTGCAGCTTTTCAAATTACATCTTTGCTTTGTCAGTAAACTGTAACTAGGTCTTTGGTTACCTCCAGAATGAATCTTATGCCAGACTTTTTTCTTTTAAATGGTTACTCTTTATTTTCATATCAACATGTGTCTTCCTTAGTAGTACTGCATCGTACCAGAGTTGGAAAAGCAGGGAACAGCTGTAACAATCATAGTCTTGAATTTTTGTATACAGTGATGAGGGAAACAGGACAATATCTCAGAGATTAAATTGTGAATTATTCAGTATCGAAGGAGACCTTGAATGAATCAAAGTAAAAGGGCTTCAACTATGCACTTTTCCTACAAGAAAATAAAAATCTAAATCTTTACCTCTTGTTTGTGTTTTTGTAATCTCATCCTTATCTTTCTTTATCATCATACCTCATAAGTTATTTAATTAAAAAAAATTTCACCGAAGTATATACAGAAGATTTAATCCTTTTCAAAGTTAGAGATGACCCGTGGCACAACTTTATTGGTCCAATGTCCATTAGGCAAAAGATATTTATTTTTTATGTATTTTGCTCTCAGAGGCTTTGACCAGGGTTAAATCATATAAAGAAGTAGAGCTGAAATTTTTAGTTGACTCATAATTTATTAAATATTTGTTATAGACTGGTAATGGTTTAGGTAAAAAAATAAATTAAACAAATTGTCAATTTTCAAACACAAGACTTATTTATTAATTAAACAAAACAAATTCACATACAAAAAATACATATCAAATAAAAATGAAAGGTAGCAGAAAGAAGAAAAAAATCTGCCCCTTTATGTAACAATGTTGTGGAAGAGGATTAGGGTCACAGAGTAAAAAAAACAACAGTTTTTTCCCCTAGATTCTGACTGTAATCTCAGAATTAGGAAAACGTCAGAATTCTGACAGTGATTGAAGATTTCTGATATTGAAGTCTGAACTTTTTTCTCAGAATTCTGACATTTTCCTAATTCTGAGATCAAAGTCAGAATTTAGAAGAAGAAAAAAACTTGTTTTTTGCTCTGTGGCCCTAATCCTCTTCCAGAACATTGTTACATAAATAAAAGTTTAAATTGGTGTATTTGAAAATTGACAGTTTAATTTATTTTTTATCTGAACTATTACCTAATCCTCTTCCACAACATTGTTACATAAAGGGGCAGATTTTTTTCTTCTTTCTGCTACCTTTCATTTTTATTTGATATGTATTTTTTGTATGNTGGCCCTAATCCTCTTACGTAAATATGACAATATATGGTTCTAAAAGTCATTGTTAGTCTGAAAACTTGCCGCAAAAAAATAAACAAATAAAAACAAAAAGTATATTCTGAGCATGCGCATTATGAAACCGGAAGTCTTGTCTCCCTGGTAAATGACAACAACTCCACTCCGTTAGCTCCTGAGGACAGGCTCCGTGAGGCTTTTTAATTATATGCTGTTATAAGAAGCAAATAGCAAATGCTGAACAGTAAAAGTTAGCATATCTTCTTTTTTTTGTAGAAGAAATGAAAGTTTAAAGGCTAAATAGCTGCAGCAAACACTAGCTGGCATGCTAATGTAGCAAAACATTGTGTTAGTGTGATGATGACAGATGAAGAGGTGACCACACTGGCGTATTCAAAAAGCCCCAAAACAGTAAAAAGAACAACATTTCAGGTAAGAGCTTTAAAAATAACACTAGTGTTAAATAATCCAAAAAGCCTATACACTATGAATAGATCTTTTAAATAAAACCTTTCTGTTTTAGGATGAACTTCAGGCAGCTGTGGTCTCCAGGGCAAGCAGAGCAAATGCAGAACAAATCTCTCATTGTAATAACATTGATGATGAAGAAGACGGTAAATCATCAGAGGATCTAAATACCAAAAAACTTTTTCATAAGAAAAGAATTACTCATTGATTCTCCTTTTATGTCCTGTGTTTTCAGATTTTTTGGACAAATTCCTCAATTCAAGAAAAAAGAGGAACGCGTTCAAGGCTGGAAAGAGTAAAGCAAAACTTCACACCTTCAACCTTTCAGATGAGGACGAAGACAAACTTAGCAGGCCAAAGAAAGTTTCCTTCCTGAAATCCCAAAGAAGCAGCGGCTCTGACTCAAAAGACAAAGCAGCTTCAGAGTCGCATGAAAACAAGTCTTCTGTAGTTGGACATGACAACAATCATGGCTCTTTTTCCTCCCAGCGCTCCATAAAAGTCAGTGAAGATAAAACCCAGGATGAAACCAGGAGTATAGAGCCTGCTGATCCTCAGCTTCCAGAAAAGACCTCAAGTCAGTCATATCAAACATCAGACGATACTCTGCCTTTACCTCCGCTGTCTGACGGCAGCATAGAGGAAGCGTCACGTCCAGAGGAGCAGAAGATAAATTCTGTGTTGGGAGAAACCTTTGAGGTTCCCTCAACATCTCCCCTTCACAACACTACTTCAGCTGGTCTGTGTTTTATATTGCGTTATTTTTTTAAAAAAAAATACCATACAATTGTTGTAGAAATATTATACTCTGATTACTGCTTTGTGTTGTTGTTTTTTTCCAGAGAGAGAGCCACCAAGACCCAAACCTCGACAAAGGACTCTCAGATTAAAACCATGTGTTACAGAAATGCCAGCCGAAGAAACTGCATCTCAGGATTTAAACTGGCCCCAGATGTCTTCTGCGTCGGCCCCCCTGCCCACTGATACATCCAGCAATATTGATGTAAGTAAATTAAATCTGTGTGTTTATTTCACAGATCAGCTTTCTGGTCTTTAAAATGACTGTGACATCAAATTTTTTTGCAATAAACTTGGATGTATTTTTGGAAAGATAGCATTGATAAAATATTGCAAAACTAATTTCACGCCGCTGAGACGAACAGTTGTTGAGATATTTGCGCGTGAAGAAACAGGAAGTGATGTCAAAGGGGACCGTCTGCTTGTGAACAGAGCATCGTTACAACAGCTAACAACACAGACTGTAGAGCAGAATCTGATGTTTCTTTAGATTAATTTTAGTCACTATCAAAGAGAGATGAAGTTTAAGTAATATTGTTTTAATAAACAAAGACCAGAGAGATTATTTTCTTATTGAGTTCCCCTTTGATGTCACTTCCTGTTTCACTTTTACTGAGCCAAATTCAAAAGAAAGTAGGCCTTTTATGTGACAAAATGGGTAAAATCATGTGTATTATGCCAATTTTCTTAAGTATAAAGATGTTTTCTTTGACTTTTTGTATTTGAATGATGTCACAGGAACTTTAAGTTGCAAAGTAAATACGTTTTGTTTGTCATGTTTGATGATAGTGGACAGATGGAGATCACCCCGTTTCACCCGGTCTCAGCAAGTCCTCTTCAAATAAGAGTGAACAGTCACAACTTTTGACTAAATCCACATTGGATTCAAGCTCCAGAGGTAATTCCTGGTCATTTCTTTTGTGCTATAAAATTATTAGCATGAGATCATCCTCTAATATTTGTTTTATGGTTTTAGATGCCTTTATATCTGATGACAGCAAAGAGGCAGAGAAAAACTACTCATCGTTTGAAGAATTTAGTGTAAGACAAGCCCTCCATTGCTCATCATGACTCAGTCTTTTATAAATCCCTAATCTGTTTATTCTTCTGTCAGGGATGCTCAAGAGAAATCTCAAATCAACTCTCCCAAACCCCTGATAAATCACTGGACACCATGTGAGTATGCAGGTTAAGCTAATCCTTATAATGTATGAAGCACAAAGATAATTAACCATCAGTTTGGGATTTTTTTTCTTATATTATTAGGGCATCTACTCCTCACTCTAAAACCAGCAAGAGGGCTCACAGTGTGTGCTCCAAAAAGGTGGAATCAAGGTACTTAGGGACTCTCAAAATTCTGGACCGTAAAGTCTCCCTACAGGAGTCTGAGCCACAAGCGGCAGAATCGCTCAGGGCAGCTGTTTATCAGGTCAGAGTGAGTCTGTCTTGTCATTTTTAGCATCACAAGAGTCCACTCTGCTTGAGTTTTAGGTCTGAATGGTGTTTCTTTCTCCTACTTGAATAACTGAGGTAGCATGTTGATAACGCCTGCAGTTTTAGGCCAATTAAAAATAGTCTGTTAGTGTCCGTAGTGTAGAAATGAAAAATCTGTATATTTATGTTACCCTTTATTATTATTATTATTATTATTATTAATAATATTAAATAAAACTCCTCATGCTCTTAACAGGAATGGCTGAAAAAGAAAAGAGAAACAACTAGACAAATCAAAGAGCTGAAGAAGAAAGAGCAGCTTTTAAAAGAAAAAGAAAAGCAGGTGATTGTCACTTACCATCCCTGAAGAATACAATAAAAATACAGTTCACGGTTAGGCACATCGTTAACTATATTTCTGTCAACTAACAGGAAGAAGAGTCTAAAAAGGAAGACGCCGTCGCCTCCTATGAAGCTTGGAAAGAAAAAAAAGCAGAAAGCCTCAGAGCGAAGGCAAAAGAAAGGAATGAAAGGATTAGAAAAGAGCAACAAGCAACTGAAGAGAAACAAGAGAAAAGACAGTCTGCTAAACAGGTACAAAGCTTATTTATGC